TCCAAAATTGTGAATTTCATGGCCCATGGATCATGGGTTCTGGTGTTAGGGTGGGGCTCTATTTATTATATTTTGAAAATGCATTTATGCTTTAAAAATCTTCTTCTCTGCTCCTGGTATTATTTAAACAAACTAAGTATATTGTTATGATAAGCAAGGATGCCTCTTCCAAAATTGTAAAATTCATGGCCCAAGGATTAGGGGTTCTGGTGTTAGGGTGGGGCTATATAGATCCTATAGTGAAGGTGAATTATTTCTTTGAAAATCTTCTTCTCGGCTCTATTGATTATATAGTGAAAAAGCAAAATTTCTTTGAAAATATTCTTTTCTGCTCCTGGTTAAAAGAAGCTAAGTGTATAGTTATGATGAGCAAGAGTGCTTCTTTCAGAGTAGTGAATTGCATGACCCCTGGGTCAGATGTGCTGGTGTGAGGGTGGATCTCTTGAAAATATAGTGAAAATGCATTAATTCTGTTAAATAATCCTGTCTGCTCTTAGTGTTAAGCAGATAAACAAAGTGATTAGTTATGATGAGCAAACTTCTGGTCCCAGGGTGAGAGGCTCTTGCGGGGGGGGGGGGGGGGGGGGGGGCTCTATTGATAATATAGTGAATCTGCAATAATAATGCATTATTTCTTTTAAAAAAATTTCTACACTTGGGCATATCAGAGGCAAAAAGAGTAAAAGTTTTAATAAGGAAGAGTATTTTTACCAGATTTTTGAACATCTGGACCATTTGGTCAAGTGTTCTGGTCCTGGCCAGGTCTCTATTAATTTGTATTCTACTGAGAGGAGTTATTCTCCTTTGCCATTTACTTTTGATAATTAATCACGGTAAATAATGTACTTGAAAGGTTAATAGAATAAGAAAATTATGCAAGAATTTTTATTGTATAATACAAAAAATACTTTCATAGTTTTAATGATCAGGTAGACTTGTAAGTAATGAATAAATAAAAATGAGACAAAAATAACTTGTCTTTTTAAATGTTCATCAAAGACCAGGAGAGGCCAATGTAAGAGACTTTAACAAGGAATTCTAATAGTACAGAAGCACTGATAGTTTGTTAATATTCTGTATGGTGATAGTGATAAATGGGGGATAGATTAAAACCTAATTTATGAACTGTTAATGAATACTAGACTAATAATTTTGTTGATCCTGATCACCCTATTTTTTTGCTTTTGGGCAACAAAGCTTCACCTTTCAGTTCATTTCATACTCTATGGATCCTCTAAATTGTTGTATTATACTCAGGTGGCCGTTAAGGCCCTTGGGCCTCTTGTTATTTGTTGTGCGGGTATTTACTTTATATTTCTAACAAAGAAAGAATTCAATAAACCCCATAAAAAAGATTGATTGAAAACATCCCTGATAGGGATACTTACCTCTAGGGCAAAATATTTAACTTCCTTTTGGTTAGAAAAAAAGTCTAGAATATGTAAAACAAATAACACGAATAACAGCAATTAACAATATATACTTAATTTATATTTATCTATTGTAACAGCTTGACTGTGAAATAGAAATTTGATACAGATTGCTCGATATCTAAATCTATAATGTGATGCAAATTAATGATGTAAATAAGTATATTAATACGTGTATATTTCCATCGGAACTCATTAGATATTCTTATCATTCCATGATAGCTTTATGAACATCTTCAATATTTCGCAAAGTGGAAATTGATAAGAAATATAAAATTACTGTTTAATTATAAATAATATAGTTTACAACTTAACGTACAAAATGTATTTAATATGGAGATAGGGAATTTAGTTTCCTTAGAAACAGCTTCACTATGAATTAAATTACGTATCGTAGAAACATAGGAATTCGCTCGTCCGTGAAATCTATATAGCCAAACATATTCAGACATGAGGTCGCACTGAATCTTGCTTTTATATTTTATTCCCTGACGGACGGGAAGGGAGTATAACTTAATTCTGCAGGAAATCGGTGGATCAAAACTTTTTTCATTTCTTACGCTGAAGTTAGAAGTACAAAAAAGAGATATCATTCGTACAAATGTATGTAAACTCCTGCTGTCTAATTTATCACAAACTTCAAACATTCCTACATAAATTAGTTCATTTACTCATATCTATCATGGAAAAAAAGAATGACACACTGTTCTTAAACGGTAAATGTACTTGTAAAGAAATGCCTTTTTTTATTGTTCAGTATGAAATCCATGGAAAAACCCAATTCTAACTATTTATTTCAGTTTAAATACCGCCATATACATCTTTTCCATATCTTTTCAGTCTTCATCTCCTGTCCTGTCCTTCAAATCTGATGTATATGGACTTCATTTTACATCTACATGTATATAGTTTTGACGATACTTTAAGCCCCGCCATATTTGCTAAGTAATATTCTTTGCTAATTTACCACAAGTGATTAATAGGCAGAGGTGCGATTCCAAATATTAATTATCAATAGAAGACGTACAATTCTTTAAAAGGGACTATTCATGAACATGCATATTTAGTGGTTCAGAATAGTCTACGTATATATACTAGCAGACTCCGCATCCACGGAGCGTAAATTTTTAGTGTTCTAATCTCAAGATACAAAGTATTAAAGCTATCTTAACGTTTTTATTTCTACATATCAATCCAACTGCATTAGTTTCTGTGACACTTTCATAACCTTTAAATCTTGTTAAAAATGATTTTGATGATACTGTTTCAGACGGTATACAAAAACCTATTTCGTGGTGGTGAAGGTGTGTATGTGTGTGTGTGTGTGGAGAGGGGATTTCATTAGTCTATTTCATTCAGATACATTACTCTTTTTACCATTTTAAGAGTGGTCCTTGTTTTCAAGGGGGTTTCCAAGGCCATTTCTTCGTTTCTTTAACATAGAACTGTACTAAACGTCTCAATTCTTTGTATCAATAATTTAATAATAATAAGCAACATCTAAAGTGCAGATTCAAGTTTGTTCAGAAATAATCTGAAAATCCCAAAGGGGGGGGGGGGGGGTCCGGTAAGGAAGCCCATTTAGGACCTATCAAAAATATTTTTGAATTCGATATAACGAATTGTCAAATTTGTTAAAACGAACTTAATTCGTTATATATCATTTTTTAGAATACTAGTAAGTTATAAAGAATTTAATCTATTTAAATACATATGTTGAATTCGTTATAACAAATTCAGAAATTTGTTTTAACAGATTAGATTCGTTAAAACGAAATCTAACATTTGTTATAACGAATTAACTTCATTTAAACAAATTCCTAAATTTGTTATCACGATCTTTTATATTTGATATAATGAAATAAATTCGTTTGAACGAATTTTAGAATTCCTTTAATTAAACAAATTTGATCGCTATAAAACCTTTTAGAATTTGTTCAAACGAATTTAGTCTGTTATGATAAATTTTGAATTCGTGATAACGAATTCAACAAATCTTTTATAAAAAATTTAATAACTTATAACGAATTTAAAAAAAAAAACTTTTATAACGAATTAAATTCGTTTTAACAAATTCGACAATTTGTTTTATCGAATTCCAACATATTTTTGATAGGTCTTTAAAAATGGGCTTCCGTAGGTCCGGACCCCCGAGTTGTCTAGACCCGCACATACATAATGACAAATGTATGATTTAGAGTTGATATATAAATTCATATCGTTTATTATATATAGTAGTAGTTTCAACTGATAATTCTAGCTTACTGGATGCGAAGCCAAGTCTCTCGCATTTTTGTAGTTTCACAATCCCTAGGAACTATAATACGTTTCGAATTGGGTGAGGGAGATATGAAAAACCAATACCGTTTTATGAATAAATACAAGTAAATTATGAAGTTCTACCATTTACAAGAATATGACATTTTTTCAGTAAAGAAGAAAAGAAAAAAAATTAAAAGTTGGAAAGCATTAGAAAAATATTATCCTCTTTCAGTATTAAAACTTTCAAATACGTATATTAATAACTTAGTGAAAAACAGCAATTTTATTGTAAATCATAGAAGAAAAAACTAATGAAATCCCTGGTAGTCTCCAATTCCTTATCTACGTGATTAATCTATCGCTTTACATGCCTGAACTACCCGGAAAGCCAGTATTAGTGAACAATTAACCTCTCTGCAATTATGAGATACTTTCATTCGGGAAAAAATGTGACGGTGTTTTGTTTCGCCGAAGAAGATCAAATGTAAAACTAAACAAAACCCTAAACTGCATTTTACTCCCTTGGATTTACAGGACATCAGTCAGATATTAACTATTGGTACTCCCAAGAACCGAGAAAATCAACATATTGAAGAAATACCTTGGTTTAATGATATCATATCGTAAATACCAGACACTACTACTAACAACAAGCTACATGTAATTCAGAAAATTTATATTCCTTGAGAAACACATTGTAGCAATATTATCAATACAAGTTTGTGACCTTGGCCTTTGATCCGTTCACCTCAAAATCAATATGGGGTTACATTTCAGTTGTAGGATTCATACCATATAGACCTAGAGGTTTTTCATTTTTCGCCTCGTAATTCAGAGGGGTCTTTCTTCGGTTAGAGAGCTGGTCATCACCTTTGGAGAGGTCATAAGTTTTAATGCAAAAACTCAAATAAAACTATAGTTATCAGCCTGAAACCATTTTATGCAAAGTATGAATTTCTGACCCTGGCCTTTGACCTACTAATCTTAAAATCAATAGAGATGTTTCTTGATATAGATAATCATCACCTTAAGTTTCACTACAAAGGCTCAAACAAAACAAAAGGGTATCCTCTGGAAACCACTTCATGCAACACATGAATTTCTGATTTTGACCTTTTGACCGCTGGCGCAATAAGAGTCTTCAAGTCATATGGAGTTAAAAAAAACTTCCATGCAAAAGCTAAAGGACCTTCAGCAAAAAATCAAATATCATTCGGACTGGACGTCTTACAGACAAACAGACCAAATTATTATCCCTGGGCCTCGTATTGAACGAAAGCGGGGACAACACTAAAAATAAGAAGGGAAAAAAGCAGACATTCATTTTACTTGGGTAACCCAATTAATTCACAGCATTGTTTCTTCTCCAGATAGTTTACTTGGAAATTCTTACACAGCAGTGATTTAAAAAACAGTTATACAAGTAAGGAATAATAACGAACAATACAAAATGGCACATTAATCAGTAATTTCATAGAAAAAATGAAGCAAAATAATAATGTTCATTAATATCGTAAAATATAAATATATATAAATTTATAAAATAGCAGTAAAATAAACTTCCCTGCATAAAATATCAATTATCACAAGCAACCATTACAATAAAATCGTATATTTATTCACCTTTCGCTTGCAAATGGATTTAGTTGGCATGAGCACATTTCTTTGAATAAACAGCTGTGGAAGGTGGAGATTTATTTTGAAGTAAATTGATATTTCAGCAAAAAAATTTATCTTTCACACTGCAATTCGGGGAAAAAAATTTTTTTTAAAGAATATTTTGAAAAAATCACTCCGTTGCATATTGTAATGAATCGGGACATGTATAATCGGAATAAAAAGTACCAACATGGCACAGCATTGGCAAGAAGATCACAAAAAGTAAAACAAAAGCAGGTTTCGAAAATCTCCGTTGTAAAAAGCTTCACTCAATATTTAAACACGAGCTTTAATTATTACATATAAGTGAATATATCAGTAGTAATTTAATGATACAAGTTTAAAACATATAAATATCTCATAATGCACTTTTTTTCTGAAAATTGTTTTTCAAAACAAAATCGATACTAAAATTTCTCGTAATGTACATGCATAGAAACTGAAATCGTGTTTCTTTTAAACCAAAGTTGGTGAAGTAAACAAGGACTGAGTATTGTAAAGGTACAAAATAAACAAGACATCATCTAATTATTTTTTTTTATAGGAGTAATTATTTTCATCGCCATTCACTTGCTTATGTTTAGACATAAAATAAATCAGTACATCACTTTTGCAAAGGCGCTTAAATAAAACAATGTTAATAACTGCCATGAGAATTACCATAAATTTAAATGTAATTCGGAGAGGTAGTACAATTTCATGACATTCGTACAAAAGTCCATAAAATATTCTAATTATAGGAAAGCCTCGACATATTATAAATGTTGACAAGTTCATGTATTTGTTCAAAATATACAACTTGTGATTAAATCCGAATTGAAACATCTGCATTAGTTTCCGTGCGTGTAGGAAAACTCCATTAATTTCCGTCATTAAGGCGACACATGTCAGTCCTGTACCGTATTTTGTCAAAATAGTATGGATAAAGAACAGTATTACCTGCAGAATAAAAAAGTCATGTAAAGCAAAAATTATTTGTTTGTTTGTTTTTTGCTTTGTTTTTCTTTCTTTCTCTTTTTTTTTTTTTTTTTTTTTTTTTTTTTTGGTCAACTTTGAAAGAGAAATTATATTAGATATTTTTTTTAACGTTTAGAAATGAAAACTTTTTATCTGTGTCTCCTTTTTTATATCAATAGTTAGTTACACATGGCTTTACACGTGTTAACGGCAACAGATATTATCAGTACAATGCACTTACTATGATATGATGGAGTGTTACACCCCAGTCACTTAAAAGCTTGTTATTCAGATACATATCTAACGCATCGTAAATGAAATAACCTGAAAAAAAATTAAGATCTAAAAATACATCAAAACATTACTCAAAATAAATCTCTGAAAACGACAGCATTTATTATAATATCATGTCCTTTACCTTCAATAGCAGATAGTGCATCAAACAAAAGCAAAAAATGGGGTATAAAAAATTCAATACAGGTACTTTCCAGTGACTGCGATCCCGGGTAAGAGATTCTGTAGAGTGTTGATCAAGTGTTCGGGTCATTGTTTAGGAAGGACATAGATGTCTAAAACACCACTAAACTTTTCAATGGATCATTGTGTTTATTGGCATTTAACATATGAAACGAAATTTCAAATGGAATTTTCTTCGAGGAAGTTAGGTGCAATCTGATGAAAGGATTTTTTAACAACTCAAGGGAAGAGGGCTGCCAAAATCCTGTTTAGGTCTAATTCATGTAATTTCATTTTTTGAATTGTTTCACTACCTAGAATTTAACTACAAATCAAAACCCTGAACTTTTTCTGACTGGTAGATCCGCCACTTAATTCCAATTTAAATCGCTATGAAACAGGTCACTCTGGTCTTGTTAGCTTTATTTGTTTACGTAAGACCCCAATATTTACTTTCACCGATAGACGTGTTCACTCACCTGTGGAGAAGGCAACCATCATGTAGGTAAAATAATTTATGTGTGCAACGAGATCATTAAACATCTCGGGATAAACGCTGAAACTATAAAATAAATGAGGTCACAGAATCCGGGTTGAATACAGTGATGAAAACACAACTAAAACATGCTTATGACATAACTTATTTAAATAAATGAATAGAAAATAAAACAAATTGCATAATACTGTAATATATTTAAGAATTATGTTTTAGAGAAATTTCTAGAATAATATTACCAAGCCAAGTCCCAAGATCCACATAAAATTGCATGAATCCAAGATACGAACAAATTCCTCCATCGCCAAGGGTCTTTGGAAGCACTGGGCGGGGGCTTAATAAATTTTGCAGTCATCATATTTAACAGGTAAAAGAACGTCACAGAAACAACAATCATTAGGATAGCAAATCTGCGGTCAACATCGTTTGCATCATCTTTCTCATACGATGAAGCCATGGCATACGACATGTGTGCAGACGATACAAAAATATATGAAGAAGTCACGTGTTGACTTGAATTGCGCGCGTATAATCAAGCATGACTCTTGTCGCATTTTCTAACAACAGTGTAGTACGGATAAAGTCTAAATAGAATGATTGATTAAAGCTACACCTATTTCTTTGTACACTAATAAAATTGTTGAAGGGTTAAAAAATAATTAGGTTACAGCAAATGTTGTACATGTATTACAAGTCACCTACAATCCTTGAACACGTTCCGGTGCGGTGTATCGGAACGTAATCTTGAGCATTTGGACAGGATTATTGATCAATGATTAGAGACTTAAGGACATACGCAACGTAGTTTGAACTTGATTGTCTTTTTCCCTGGAGTTGAAGAGTTCCAATACTTAAAGGAACTGTGTGCTACATTTTAATGCCTATATATGCTGTTGTACACTTCTTCTAAAACAAGTTTAGATAAACAAAATATCTAGAATATATGTTTAGTAATTTTTGAATATTTTTCTTTGAAGTATACAAGAATTTTCATCAATTGATATCTTTTCAAAACCCCTGGTAATGCATGCTGATTTTTTGTCTATGAACATCTGATGGCACTATAATCTTAAATTAAGAATATCTTGAAAAATTATCAGTAGGTACACTGTAAAAAATGATGTTTAACTTGTGTTTAATTTTTAAACAGTCGTGTTTTACAATTAAACATGGTGGGTTTAAATACAAAACATTAGCGTTTAACATATAAACACGACTATTTAAATTGGTGTTCAATAAGTATGGTGTTTAATCATCCATCTTAAACACGCAATGTTCATATGCATCAAATCAAAAAAATAAATTAGGTGTTGCTTCTAAGTATTGCTGTGTGCATTTGCCATTTGTACAATTTCTTTAATTTACGAAGTAATTCCGTACATACTAGTAGATATTTTTCGACACAGAAAAAATACGAATAGCCAGGCAATACGTTGAGTTTAGATCATACCAAAAGCAATTACAATTAACATTAATTTATGGTAATTTTGTGCCAAAAATTCATAAATTTCATAAACTGCTAAAGGGGAAAGAGAAACATATATTATGATGACTTTTATAATTTTATCAATATTTTAATCACCGGTGTTTACACGAGTGTTCATTTCTTAACCATCATATATTTATAAATTAAACACATGGTATATATATAGAAATTGCAAATTAAACACCTGTGTTTAATGCGTTATGATAGAAAATGACGCAATTGATTATGTCATAACATGCCATTTGAACGCAGAAGATGCAGAATCACGCATATACTGGCAAAAACACCATATCTAACAAGAAAACAGGAGGTATTTATACATTTCTTTATATAAAATCTGAAAAAAATTGAATGCTTAATACATTAGAGATTTATACTGCTTTTCATTTATGAAATGCAGGATTGTTAGGCCTATCGTCTGAGTGCAAATGCGGCCATGTGCAGCGATCGGCATAAAATATTTGTAGTCTTTAAGTATATTGCGATATCTGATTAATTTGCAGGGACGTTCATCTCTTATTGTGAATCCTGAGAAGAATACATTACTTGATAAAGGAAAATATCACACTTAACCTTGAGAGGTGAGTTTAAAGGGCATTTCAAAGAAGAAGGGCCATTCCCCTTACACAGACACACCCTCACACACACACAAACATCATTGTTTCCTAGCCTACACTAGTTTTGGGTCTCCCAGTAACATGAAATTTAAGTAAATATAATCCAATTACCTGCCCTTGATAAAATTTATGCTCCCTATCACGCATTATTATGATTATTTGCTGACCAAACATAACTGAACACATAAGCGTTAACAACAACACTTTTCATCCCCTGCCCGCGCATGTATTCTTTAAGGAGACTTTACATTTTTGGGGAGTGTTGTTTACCTGATAGAAAATGCCTTGGGTAGCCCCCCCCCCCCTCCCTTCTCTTAATTGTTGCTGTTGGGCTGCTCCTGCAGGTACATTAATATTTAATTTTTTAGTGTATACACTGTTTGTATGCTTAATATATGATTTATTTGTATTGCAGATTTTTATTTCAAACTTGTTTCTCAGTATGTATTATATAATTAAAATTGGCATGAAGGATAAAAAATTATTTTTTTTATCTCAATGTATTCTTTTACAGATAATTTTCTGAATTTGCATAGTGAATATTTTTTATCTATCTATTTTTCAGGATATTTCTTATAAGAAGAAGGAATTAGAAATACTAAGGTTGAATAAAATTTTGGAGAATGGAAAACTGGAGATCATCATTCGTGGCAGAAGAACCTGAATTTTACACACAAGCAGAGGAGACTGTTTAACTCGGTTAGAATATGAAATTTAGTGAGTGATACCCAGGCAGCTCTTGTGAAGTTGCAAGAATATTTAATGAATTAGTCGTTTACAGGTAAAAACTGGAAATTTTCTTCATTTGGTTAAAACTCTGAATATTAGTGAAAGTAAAATTATACAGGTACAACAACTGGATTTATTAACTGCAATACATACACAATGTATATATCCCGTACCCAGGCAATAAATAACATTTTCAGTCTTTGTGCATTATATTTAATTATGAATTTGTTTGTTTTATTAAAAAAGATGTAATGGACGCCCTGTCCCTTTTTAAAAATAAAGTTTCAAAATTTTATTCCTGAAAAATAATATTTCATTTTATTAAGCGATTTTCCTATTTCACCCCCCCCCCCCCCCGGGCCACCAATTTTATTGAATTTTAGTTCACATGCAGGTTTTACATGTTCATGCTTTTTTTTTTTTTTATAATTCTATCTTTCAACTTGAATTGAATTATGTATCTACAAGTGTGTGTCAGCAAATGTGTTGATAGATGTTATAATTGTTTATAAAGTTTGAATCTCTATTCAACATTAAATCATTTATTAATTAAGCTTTATGTACATGTTGGTCATCAAGAACAGTGTGTTTTGTACTGTTTTATGTTTGTTTCAAATAAAAATGTTGAAAACCTATAAACACGTTTAAGTGTTTATTTATTTTGTAAATTAAACACGTTGAAGTGTTTAAAAAATGGCGTATAAACATGTTTAAGTGATTATTATCTGTTGCATCGAATAAACATGTTTAAGTGTTTAGGTTGAACGTGTTTATTAATAAAACATGAAATGTTTAAATTTTAAACACGTACGGTGTTTATTTATTAAACTCCTTGTGTTTATTCAGTGTTTAATCTTTAAACGTTTTGTGTTTTTGAAGTGTTTAGTATTTAAACAGAATGAGAAAGACGTATTTAAATATTAAACCTCATGTGTTTAGAATTTAAACATTTTAACGTGTTTATTTCTTAAACACTTCACGAGGTGTTTAAATTTTAAACGTGTTAAAGTGTTTATTATCTGTGGCAATTTGGTGTTTATTTTTAAAACACTTATTTTTTACAGTGTAAGGTACGTTGCGTATGTCCTTAAGAAGGACATAGCGCGGATACGCATATATAAATGTTGAAATACAAACAATGACTAAGGAAAATAATATTTTTTACGATGTTTAGTTTAGGACAATTCCAATTTTAAAAATTGTGAGATCAGCAATTATTTGCCAATGTGTAGAAATACATACAGTTCTGTAACGGTGCAGTGTTGACAATACTTATTCGTATTATATACTTCGGAAGTTTATGTAGAGTGATGTTTATTACAGCTTTCAACATATAACAGCTGCAAGGTACAACTGAAGAAGACGAGTGTCACGGATTTTATCCATTCTTTTCTCTTTTTTTGAAGGGGGGGATGTCATTCCAAAATAAACTGTCAATTAGCCATACATCATACAGTTTACAATGCATGCGAGATCATTTTCATCTAGTACATGTATATGTATTTTGCAGTTTAGCAGTGTCCTAACTAAAGTATATCCTGGTTCAATTTAGAAATTTTGTAGTTATTTGAAAATACAAAAATTTACAACTAGTTGTCATGTTGTAAATTTTATATTTACTGCCATTCGGTAAAAAAAAAAAATACATGACACTGATATCCCTCGGATTCAAGCAACACTTACGAACGTTTATTATTGATATAGGGGTTTTAAATCGAATCCCAGTTCTAATCAATCAGTGGACTGAAATATCCTCTTATACCACTGCATGAAATTTAACGAGACTTTCACAGTATCTTTATTACTTAGTACCATTTTGCATCTGCTATTAATAATTTTAGTTTTTGAGTCTCCCATAGCAAAACATGGACTTTGCCATTAAAATCATATGGAAGGCACGGGGTATCAGTTTGTGAGCCCAGTGCTCACAGTGCCTCTACTTATACCTGTTGTCACTGAAGTATATGTCGTTTGTTTTCAACTAATCAGTTGCCAGGGGTACAGCAAATGAAAAAGTGACAGAAGAGCGAAGGATAGCTAAGATTTTTTTGTCATGTATCATTTTTAAAGCAACCCCTTTTACCATGTTTACTAGAGTAAAAATATATACATTTTTTTTAATTGACTTATTTGACAAACACTATTTCATGTTATCTTTATTGGCTAATTACATGTACTGTACATACAAGATCTTTTGCATGGGAATAATTTACAGTTTTTCAAGTCAATAAATAACCTTCAAAATTCATGATTTTTTTCCACGATTTGTTTTGTTTTGTTTTCATTTCCTTTTTTTTTTTTTGTTTTGTTTTGTTTTGTTTTGTTTTTTTTTTTTTGGTTTCCAGATTCTTTTTACATGTCTAACAGCCTCAGATCTTTAGTAGTGAAGTCAAAAAGATCCTTTGTAATGCCATGCTTTATGTTATACAAAGTATGCAATCATGTGAATTACCAGTACCAGCTACAGCTTTAATCTTCATACTACTTTTCTTCCTTGAGTATCAAATTTTTGGACACTTCATTCAGTCTTCTTTGTTTTTCTAACAAATAAGCATTATAACTCCATTCACTCGGTAAAATAATCTCTTTTGCTGGCGGTGGACCTATATTCTGCATTGTAAGATTATTTTCATAAACATTTATCATGTCCTTAGATTGTGCAAAGAAACCGGCTTTGTATGGGAGCATATCGTCTGTTAAACCTGTGCACAGAAATCTGTAATTAATGGCTAGCCAGGATATTAAGACTGCCTCAACAGAAAACTTGTTTTTACATGTTGTAGATGTAAGTGGAACTGGGGAACTCTCTAGAAGGACATCATTCTCTGAATCATAAAACATCAAAATCATGGCATTATCAGCAATGCCTATACATGGAATAAGGAAATTGGATAGCTCTGGATGCCTTTTCTTCTGCAGAAAAGAAAACACAATAGTTTCTGCAGCCAGCTGTGGGTTCCTGCAAAATGGAGAATCTAGTTCAACCTCCAAATTCTGAATGACGATTTCATTCTTGATTATGGCATCTACATCACCATGCCATACTTTGTTATTACCTGCAAAAGAGCAAAGAGGATGATTACATATTACATAATGAAAACATTTATTACTAATAAAATGACACACCAATTTCATGAGCTTGTTAAAGTATCTTCTGACCTTTTTATCTACATGTATTGTTAATAAATGCATTATAAGCATATAAGATATAAGCATATAAGATATATCTAATCAAATATGTCAAGGAGACTCAGATAGACATTTAGAATTTTTTAAATAAAAAATAATTTATGAATAAAAAATAAAAAATTTTAAAAATATTTTTTAAATCTATGGTTAAAATCTTCAAGAAACAATTAATTAAGTTACCAATAGTAAAGAAATATCAGACAATTTTTGTATTTTAAAAAGAAATTGAAATGAAATTTCAGGAAAATTGCTAATTTTCAAATTTGGACCAATCAAGATCGAAATTAAACTGATCCCAACCAATATAATAGAAAATGGACCATGGGCCACAATGCTCACATGAGTAACTTTAACACTACTGCTTTTCATCAGATTAAGAGATTTTTCAATTGCCATGAAAAATAATGACCCCATATTATGCCCCCATCCAAATTCTAAGAGTTCTCTAATTCCACACAACATGGGGATTCATTAATATGTATAACTTTCAGTGTCACGGCTCTCATTTCTCTTCAAAAACTGAGACTTCTCTAAGTTTCTTTGAAAAATAGAAATCTGATTCTCCCTCTTAGCAAACAAAGAGAAAATAAATGTTTAAATAAAACTAACCATAGTTGCATAAACTAATTATAATTAATTCTTTGAAATATTACAATATATAAATGTAAATATAAAAGTAAATATTAAGCAAATTAAGTAATATTGAATTATTCTGACTTAAAGAAACTACATATACTAAAGAATATAGTATTAAGGGTTGCATGCAGATATTTCTGTCAAAGTGTTACTGAGGGATGGTAATTCCTGTAGACCCTCTTTCTAAAACTTTGTGTAATATCATTAAAAAAAACACTTTTTCTTACTTTCTTTTCTTAATTAAAGAGCAAAAACATATCCTCTGCAACTATGTATTAGAGTTATGTAAAACATTCAAAACTTTCATGTGCATTCATACGCATAGGACAAAAACTGTAACTATTTGAAACCTTTAAGAGCTTTCTGAAAATTTTGTACTGTTCCTGTATTGCCATAGTATGGAGCAACAAAGAAAACACAAAGAACCTATACATACAGAATACATACAGATTTTTTTAATAAGCCATTGCCTCATAAGTCTTCTAATGTTATAGAGGGAAATCAGTACCTTATGCCGATTGACCCCATATTGACACAACAAAGGGAAATAACTCTTGTAAACGTGAAAGTTTATTTGTTCAATATACCTATACTTGTATCCCCATAGCATCCAGTAAACAAACAATTTTCATCCCTGCAGCTGCATTGATTTCTTTTCTCATATTTTCTGGTATTTTTGCAGTTTTTATCAATGGTGAAGTCTGAGGATGTTGCCAATTTTGCAAAAAGATGATTAGAAAGTACAGATAAGTCAGTTTCACTTTCACAGTCCAAATCAACCTTTTCACCTGCAAAAAGCAAAGATTACTTGAGAAATTACACATTTTTTAATGGAGAATTCGGTTGAAAATATATACTTCTTAATCCTGCTCATTTTCTGAGTTAATTTCTTTCAATTTTGCATTTTATTCCACAGCTAGGCCTCTGAATTTCTATCAATAAGCCGTTATATGATTGATCAGAGTGATATATATACCCCCTCTATATATAAATATATAGAGGGGGTATATATATCACTCTGATCAATCATATAACGGCTTATTGATAGAAATTCAGAGACCTGTGTTTAGTCATTAGCCTAATCTTAAATAAACTTACCTGCTTTCAAAAAACTGACAAGTTTTGCAAGCATTATTTTTTCATGTTTTGCCTCCGGAATTTTTCCTTGCAGAAATTCAATCCCAATATCCAGCCCTCTCCTGAAAATATCTCCTAAAAAGAATCCTTTCTTCAAGGTTTCTAACTCACAGAATGCTTCTGAAAATGTCACTCCTCCACTGGAAATTGCTGCATTACAATAATTGATTTTGTACGGTAATAGTCTAATATTAAGAGCATAATACGTTGAACAAAGTTTATGAAAAGCTGTTGTTAGATCAGATTTATCAGAGAGTGACAAATCATCTACAGATAAAAGAAAACAATCCGTCAGCCTCCGACGTTTGTTTGCACACTGTCCACTGTCATCGGCCATTTTTAAAAAGATTTCTGAGGTATTTGGTCTGTTCGCTAGATACAGGTTCGCACCGGGTCAATTCGACATTTTAATCACCATATCGGGAAACACACACACACAGGTTAGCAGGGTTTCCAAGTTTTTACAAAGGAATAAAATTTTTCTTAGAAAACTCAGAAAAGGACTTAAAATTCTACTGATGGGCCATAGGCAAAAAGGAAATTCCAGTCAGATGAAATGAATAAATGAATTTATAAGTTAAAAAACTTTACAAATGTACTCTAAAACAAATTGCTGTCCTTAAAAAGATTACTGTTTCGTACATAAATCTGAAGAAAAGTTTCAAGGTTGCATTTAATATATATATGATAAGAATAGATTTCTTTTATCTTAACTGGCGGATTTACGCCCCCCCCCCCCCCCCCCCCCCCAAAAGGTTACATGGGAAAACTGTCAAATTAGGTTACACGTGTATACCTTTAAAGGAAAAACTGTAATGGAATTAAAATGAACATAATTCTTAAAAAATTTATAAAACACGAGATTTGGCACTCTTGCAAAGCAGCATCACATGTATATGGCTTTTACTTTTCAAGCAATTAATATCATGGGAGAAATGATTTCCTTAATTTCTATTTCCACAATACAAATCTGTTTTCAGATTTTGATTCGAAAAAAAAAAACTTTAGACATCTACCTACTAAACTGAGATGTCAGTTTACTTGTCTACGAAATTCTCTTAACCTAGCTCACAAAGTGAAAATGTTTTAACCTCGGAAAGTGGAGAAGAATGATTAAAGTTTGTTTGTACACGTAAGTGAAAATGGTGATCGTGGATGGGCGAGAATTAAATGTCTGAAGGCAATTTGAAGAATTTCTTTGAAAAATAAACTTGTGACAACATCAGTTGTGAAATGTCTTATATAAAGGAATACTCTGAGATAGGCCGTTTTAGGAAAAATAAGTCTAAAAGTGACGCTCGTATTGCATGTGTTGCTCTATGATCTGCCGTTTAATTTTATTTCGTCGGGGTATGCATGAAGCTAAACAGGTATATCAAAAAGAAGTTTACATGTATCGTTGTATGTCAAAAAGTTTGAATGTTTTTTATATCTATAAGTATCATACGTGGCGGAAAGAACCGAGGGATGCACGGGGTTGGGGGAGAAGGCGTACCAACAATAATTTTGTTGATTTATGAATAATATAGAAAGCATACTTATTGTAGCTATTTTATGGGTACATTGCTCTATTTACTTTTGAATCGGTAGGGGAGAAAGTAGTTCGCTGAAACGAAATAGTTCCCTAACTTGCAAGCAGTATATAAAATAAGTCATCTGAACTAAAGATGCTTGATATCTATGAAAGAAGAGGAAATCTCACGATCAAAAACATTTTCATTTTTGTGTAATCTTTGAAAGAAAAGGAAATGAATTGCTTGATATGTGCATACACTGACTTTGGGAATTATCATACTTTTACTTTCATTTTCAGATTTTTGTGAACATGTGCATTTTGCCGAAAAACGAATCTGACATGTCACCTCGAGATTTTAACCAGTTAGAGAAAATTTGACGAGTTTTCATTTGAGGGGTGTTCCATCCTTCAACTAAAATTAGGGGAGGAGCTGTATAAGAAAACCTTAACATTGTCGCCTATTGGAAATGTTAATAGTGGACTGTACCCATATGCTTGTGCCACCTCGATCAATAATAACGGTCGATGCCCTTTTTATTTTTTATTTCTTTTATTTTTATTCATTTATTTATTATTATTATTATTATTATTATTATTATTATTATTTTTTTTTTTTTTTGGAAGGAATTTGTGGCCAAGGAATTTGTGGTAGTGCCCCCAAACTGAAAACGTTTGGTTGTGCCCCCACCCCACCCCACTGAAATTGCTTCCTACGGGCCTGTCATAATTAATTATAGATTGAAATAAGTAATAAATTAAATGTCCGACTAAAATAATACTCATTATAATTTTACGTAAATAATTAAATAATCGTAATTTATTTTACGACAGTGGGATGTTCCCAAAAACGGGCGAGCGATTGGTTTTGATGTAATACAAGCGCTCTTGGTCGGAGCTTCGTTCCTGGTACATGTATTAGCTCTAGAATTACCATAGATACACATGTATCCAAGTAGGATATTTCCTTGAATGTGGTAGCCGTTTCTCATGCCCCCTCTCCGGAATCAAACCCTGATTCCCTGGCTGATACCCGTTGCAACCATAGTAGGCATGACACGCACTATCGACAGTTGAAAGGACAGACATCTAACAGAACAATAAAACATTTTATAAAATTTCTACTCCACTCTAAACAAAAATCAACAAATATAGATCAGTGCATGAACAGGCACTTGTTTTTGTAATAGTTTTTTTTTAATCCATAGTATATTATTATTATGTTCCCCAAACGAAGTTTGGGAACATATTGTTTTTACTCGGTTTCTTATTATTAAGGTCTTCCGTCTTCACGGAAGACCTTATAGTGATTCTACTGTTTCTTATTAAGGTCTTCCGTCTTCACGGAAGACCTTATAGTGATTCTACTGTTTCTTATTATTATTAAGGTCTTCCGTCTTCACGGAAGACCTTATAGTGATTCTACTGTTTCTTATTATTAAGGTCTTCCGTCTCCAACGGAAGACCTTATTGTTTTCGTTCGGTTTCTTTTTCCCTATTATTATTATTATTTTTCTTACCGATTTTGTGCACGCGAGTTCTCGGAAATGGCTTGGTCGATTTTCACCAAACTTTCAGATCTGATAGATATTCACCTGAACCTTGTCGGAAATTTTCGTCGTCGATGACGTCACTTCCGGTCGTGAGATATGGATGATTTTCTGATTTTCAGAGGGTCGGCTTGTCCTGGCAATCACTCCTAAACGACTCAAGATATTGAGTTGAGATTTTCAGTGAAGGTAGAAGAAGGAATGTAGATGTGCTTTTTTGCGTCTATATCTTCCCGGCGCAAAAGGCGCCGAAGCTCGCCTGGGCTCGAAAAATAGGCTCAAAAGCATCTCGCAAAATTTGACATATTTTCTTTTATATCTTTATACCTGTAAATATTTTGTTAAAACATATATAACAAAAGTTGTGCAGAATGATAAGAGCTTTCATCTGATATCAAGAAAAAAGGGCTGTTTCCTCCTATTAAGGGCTCAAAGGGGCTAAAAGTCTTCTATCCATAACTCTTTACCGGTCAATATTTCGTTATAAATTACTGAAGCAAAAATGTTTATCTTAACAATTTGAAACCACCTTTTATGAAATTGGGATCATATATTACGTAATAAGGGGCCATAAGGGGCCAGAATGATAAATCTTTGATGCTTTATATCTTGGAAAGGGGAAATATTTTGATAAGCAATATTGAACAAAATATGTTCAGAATAATGTTCCAAACAATATGCACCCTTTCAATTTTTGCAAAACGATCCCAGTAAGGACTTGAAGGGCTGACCCCTAAATATTTCTATTCTACATATCTCGGAAACGAAAAGAAACTTCTGAATAGTTGTTGAACAAAAAGTCTTCATAATCACAAGGCCTTTCTTTTGATATCAAGAAAAAGGGACTGACCCCTCGAATTAAGGGCTCAAAGGGACCAGAAGTCTTTTATCTATATCTCTTTAATGATTAATATTTTGTCATAAATTACTGAAGCAATAATGTTCAACTTAACAATTTGCAACTATATATTATGAAATTTTGATCATATATTGTATAATAAGGGGCTAAAGGGGCCAGAATGATAAGTCTTTGATGCTTTATATCTCGGAAAGGGGAAATATTTTGGTAAGAAATATTGTACAAAATATGTTCAGAATAATGTTCCAAACAATATGCACCCTTTCAATTTTTGCAAAACGATCCCATAAAGGACTTGAAGGGTTGGCCCCTAAATATTTCCATTCTATATATCTCGAAAACGAGAAGATACTTCTGAATAGTTGTTGAACAAAAAATGTTTAAAATCACAAGTCTTTTCATTTGATATCAAGAAAAAGGGGCTGACCCCTCAAATTAGGGACTCAAAGGGGCCAAAAGTCTTTCATCTATAACTCTTTAACTATCAATATTTTGTTATCAATTACTGAAGCAAAAATGTTCATCTTAACAATTTGCCACAATATATTATAAAAATAAGATCATATGTTGCGTAATAAGGGTCAAAAGGGGCCAGAATGCTAAATCTTTGACGCTTTATATCTCAAAAGGGTAAGATATTTTGATAAGCAATATTAAACAAAAGATGTTCAAAATAATGTTCTGAACAATATGCATCCTTTAAATTTTTGCAAAACGGACCAATTAAGGACTTGAAGGATTGGCCCCTAAATATTTCTATTCTACATATCTCGAAAACGAGAAGAAACTTCTGAATAGTTGTTGAACAAAAAATGTTTAAAATCACAAGTCTTCATTTGATATCAAGAAAAAGGGGCTGATCCTTCAAATTAGGGGCTTAGAGGGGCCAAAAAACTATTATGTAACTCTTCAATGATCAAGAAATTGTTTTAAATTACTGAAGCAAAAATGCTTTAGGTAACAATATGCAACAGTTTGTTGTAAAATTTTGATTCTCTGTTGTGTAATTTGGGGCCAAAAGGGCTAGAATGCTAAATTTTTTACACTTCATATCTCGAAAAGGGGAAATATTTTGAAAATCAATATTGAACGAAAGATTTTCAAGATTATGTTATATACATGTAAATCAAAAGAATGAAATCTAAGGAGGGAAATCTTTATATCATTATCTTTTAACGAAAACTTAATCAAAATCACATCTCATCTCATCGCAAAATCGGACGGAAGACCTACTCGTTGCTCGCAACGAGATCTCATCTAGTTATTATTATTTTTTCCCCAAAAATTTTGTGCATGCGATTTCTCAAAAACTATTCAGTGGTTTTTAATGAAACTTTCAGGAATTATGCGTCGTCAAATGGACTTTGTTCATCAGAAGGAAAATTTGGAAAACTCGCTTCCGGTGCCAAGTAATT